CCTTTGACTCTGTAGCCAGATGCCTCAACCCCCAAGTTACCCAATCAGCAGGCACCCTCCAGTCCAGCGCGTCCTCCGGAGGGCAGCCAAGGGCAGCCTTTTTCCTCCCTCTCCAAATATAGGCAGGGCCCTTGCCTGGGCTTCCTGCACTGCGCTCCACCCTGCTCACTCGGTCTCCTGCAGTGTCGGAGCCACAGTCAATGGGCAGCTGCAATGTGCGCCGAGAGGTGGTGGGGCGCGGCTCCTCCTTCACCTCCACCTTGTCCTTCTGCTGCTGCTGCCGCCACCTGATCACCACCACCAGCACCACTTGCAGGCTCCATTCAGGCAGGGGACGAGGCTACAGCACGAGCTTGAGCTGAGTGAGCCCCAGCAGTGAGCAGTGCCTTGCCCTGCACTGGGCTGGCATGGGTGGTGGCATTGGCATGGCTTGTGTGCCCACAGAGAGGGCTCTGCATGCCAGGTGCACCATCGCTGCCCTAGATGTAGGTGAGAATCAAATCAGAGTAACTGTATTGAAAGTGGCAGATACTACCATTAAAGAAGATTAGTTATAAAGAGATATGCTTCTGAGACGTCTAAAGATGGAAGTGAGTCCTCATCTGAAGCACCTCCAAAACGAGCCAAACAACCTGTCTGAAATGCTTTATCCTGTTTATATCAAGTTTTACCAATAGTCCCCTTTCCTCTTTGGCACAAGGAAGAATATTCAGTAGTACCCTGAGCACTTTTTTGATGATGGCACTGCTTCCATCAAGCAGATGTCATACTGCTTGAAAAATAAGGTTTTGTTTCTTTTGTTTTCTGAACCTTAGAGATGGAACAATTATGAGGTTTTTGTACAACTTCTATCTTGTATCCCTCCCTGTTCTACGGTATGCCATGGCTGACTGTTGCCAAACATGTACTGCTGAAGACAGCCTCCATGTTCCTGATGTCATACGAGCTGTGGCTTGTGCTGAGTCTTGGGGGGTTGGAGGCATTTTGAAAATTTCAGTAATCAATGTTGATATTTTCTCACACCACTATGGCTAGGAACCACTATGGTCTCTGGACATATTAGTGCAAATATAAAAGTGAACAGAAGAAGAATCAACCTTGAAAGAGCCCTTTTCCTTTTAAGTCCCATTAGATGTAGCACCTTCTTTTTGTGTATGACCTCCAGGAAGACGGGCTCAAAGGATTTCCTAAATTATTTTGTTTCTCTAAGAGGGACAAAGATCAGGTTATTTTTGTTTTAAAGTCAGTTTTTCAGTGTTTCAGCTGAATTGGCTATGTTTAGGCACTGCTGGTACCTGAGCTCTACTGATTAACTGGAGAGAATCCAAACTTACTTGCTGCAGAAGCAGAGGCCTTAGTCTATGAATGCCTCGTTTCAATTTAGTGTTACTTGTTGGAATTTTCACAAACAGATCGTTAGACCAGAAGCATGTGGCTTCAAGCCACAATCAGTACTGTAGTGGGGGCCCTAATTGTTCATGTTGTACTAATATACTTTTGAAAGAACTGATCATGCTCTTTTATTCCTTATTTTTAAAGGAATCCCCATCTTTAGCATATAAACAAGAAACCAAAACAGAAATTGGAGTGTGCTGGAGCACTATAATCTGCTTAGGAACTTTGGGGGAAACTAAAATATCTTGACTTGTAAAAGCTTAGACTAGTCAGCTCCTCATTTATTCCATTCATCTCTTATAGTAGATATGGAACTGGGAAAACCAAGGTCTGATATGGCTTGCATTCCTTTTTAAAAACTTCTCAAGAGCCCTCAGGCAACCTAGGGTCCATTGGTTGACTCATTATATTAGAATTTTCTAGGGGGAATCCAAAGGGGCTTGCTCGCGATTAAGCGGGCAGGGCACTGCAGAAACCAATGCGGCTCTGCAAGAGGAAGTGAGAGAAAACAAGTATTTTTATATCCCTCCCTTCCTTGCACCGTAAAAATCTTCTCCAGGTAGCCCCCCCTACTCAAAAAATATATGTCCGGAGAACGGTATTGACACCATAGGGATCCCAAGGGCAGGAACAACGTACCAGGACTATTGGCGTAGGATCTAGCCCCAAGTTCCGGCAGCTCTTGGGGGTAAAGTAGTGTATAGTGCTTCGTATGATGTCGGACAGCGACTCCCAGCCTTCCCCATCAGTGACTAGGCGGGCTACAGCCGACGGCCAGGGCATTCCAGCAACAGACGCCGAGGCTGCCCCGGGCGCCCCGACCAACACCGGCCTTCCGCCGCGTTGCCTCAGCGTCGTGACATTCGCGCCCGCTCTCCTCGACTGCGCTGGCGGCTCAGAAACGCCCGCGCCAGCCTCCGCCTCACCTCTGCGCGCCCTTCCTCTCCTCCTTTACATACTAGCGGGCCGGCTGCGACCTTCGCGCGGCCGCGGCCCTTTCCGCTCGAGGCGGGCTCGTTCCCTTCCCGGACTCACCTTTCCCACGGAGCGGAGCCGCCTGCCCGAGGCGAGCGACCAAGAACGGCCGAACTGCCCTCAGGAGATTCATGGCGGCTCTAAGATAACCGCCGCAAAGGGACGGCTGCGGCGCCTCTCGTCCTTGTGACGAAAGGTTGACGTTGAAGAGAAGGGCATCTCTTCCCACCAGTAGGAAAAGCCGAGGCGGGACAAAAGGAAAACTATCCAATCCAGGCCGGCTGGAAGGTTACGGCTCATAGCCGCCCGATGCTATGACCTTTTTGTCGAGGTTTGGGTTGGAGTTGGGAGTCTTGCACCAGTTGCACCGGCCGCTGTTGGGAAGCCTGCGGGTGACCCTCCCGCGGGGAGTAAAACAAGGCAGAAAAAGAAGACGTGCAGACTTAATTATTGGGTGCATTAAAATGAGGAATTTTCAGGGGGATACCATATCAACGCTTTAGCAACAGTGAAGTTAATGGTATTGATTGCCAATTTAACTCCAAGTTGTCTTCCAATAATTTCCATCACAAGACGATAGCTTGCAACAATTTCCTGCTCCCGGAAAAACGAATTTATTTCCCAGGCATGAAACGGGGGG